GGGGGTAGGGTCTGGGCTTGTGTTAGTAGATGAGGTACAGTGTTGAAAATTCCAACCCTCTAATCATGTATTTGGTTTCTTTGGTGACAGGTTCCCCCATCCTGTAGCTCTCTAGGGACCATCCAAGGGTCAAGCCATTAGGATCAATGCAAGTAAATCTAAGGTCTCAGAGTCAGCTTGCTAATGATTAAGTCCCTGCCCTGTGTCCCCACCTGTTTACAAAAATCTGTTACTATTTCCTGATACTGTTTTTCCTGTGTGACATACAAATTCCTGCCCCAGTCACAATAGTCTCGCTACACTCCTTGGAATGTGACTCTCCCCTTAATTTCTGTAGTCCACACAATACCTTCATAACACCTCTTCTCAGAACTGATCCTACCCCCAAATTCCCATAGTCTATGTAATGTGACCCATGTGATTGCCCCCTAAAATTTTGTTTAAATTCAGCTTATAACTGCCCATGGCAAAGCAGCCTGGCAGGTCTATCCCCCAACAAAGCCTTGAGATCATATTGGTTGCTCTTGCTCACTCCTCATTTCTTACAGTAAGGTGGATAACAAGACTACTACGACCAGAAATTCCCAGGGTATATGTGTGGTGCAAGAACTAGGAAGTCCTCATAGATATTCAAATACTGTAATTTTTGGAGTTGGAGATGGGCCATGTCTTTCATTCCCAAGTTCTTCGTCTTGGTGACCATCCATATGGTAGCTCCCTAGGGTTGGAAGTCTTTTCTCTTTCCATTCCCTATCCTTCTCCCACAGTCTTGGGTTTCAGCCTTTTCTCCCAGAACTTCTATGGGTGGTCAATTTGAATCCTTCACTCCCTCGTAACAAGTTGACAGTGGACCAGGGGAGGATCTAGTTTTCTGCTGGTCTTGACCATGACACTCAGTAAAAGTCTAGGTAAGAACCTCATGTATATCTTTTCCATTAGTGCTTAAAAAGTTAAATCCTGTGAGCTGGGAGTTACAGATAGGTCAGCGGTATGGTTATTCTTAACATATATTAAACCCTAGGATTACTTGCTTGGACCAAAAATAGCAAATAAGTAAATAAATAGATAAATAAATCAAACAAAGCCTAGGTTCTTTATGTTTTTCCTTCCAACCTCCTTTTTTCCTGGTTTTTCTGGTGTTCAGTCAGGGGGCATCCTGACCCAAGTTGTTCTCCAAATATCCTAGACACTCAGCCCCTTCCCCAAGGTCAGCTGCTGAATACACTTGTCCCTCAGTCAGGAGTGTTTATTGAGTGTATTCTATCTGCCAGACCTTGTAGTAGACATTAAGGGGCTAGGGAGGGTGACCTGTGTCTGGAGGGCACAGGTTCTTTTTCTCCAGTTTAAACATATTGAGGCAGGTTCTAGACTTCCCCCATCTGTTCTGCCTCCAGGGTTCCAGCCCTTCTAGTCTTTCACACACTTGGAACCTGGCAAGACTTCCTTGTTTTGACATCCTTTCAGGTCTGAATCTCAGCGCTGATTTCTCCATTTAGGACATGGACACTGAGTGTACTTGAGGAAGGCCAAGCAGGATATCAGGGTCTCCACCCTCATGGCTCTACTCTTTGGTATGTCAGATAGATGATATCAAACATGCACATGGGGGTACATATTATGAAGGAAACAAACAGGTGCTCTAGTGTAAAGTGGTGGTGCTGGTTAGATGAGGTTTCTCCTGCCCTCAGAGGAAATTGGAGTTTTTGGACCCCAGCCCCCAAATCCTGGGATTCTACATAATAAGTCTGGCAGTTCACAAACCCTATGTGCCAAATAAAGAGACATGGTGATGGGTAGAGAAAAGTTATTTATTATGTGATACAGACTAGATAGCATTTCAGGCTATTCTATCCTTGGTATAAAGACATAACTCTATAGATAAAGAACTGGGGAAAAGGAGAGAATGGTATGCATTAACAGTTCCAGGCATAGGTGTGTTCAGAGTTTCAGTAGTCATTGTATGGGTCCTTGTTTTGGGAGTGTTGCTGGACTCCGTTACTGGCTTTATCATTTGAGGAGAGGAGTGTGGTCAGTATAAACGAAGTACTGATACCTGGCAGGTGATACAGTCCTTACTGGATCCCAAGATGGTTGTAAAGAGACTATGTTGGAGAATGGCCAGGGCAAAGGAGGCAGATACAAAATGGAGAATTCATAGCTTAATCCTGCTTTTAATTTGTGGGTTCAAGTAAGGAGTCAGTGCTATTCAGCAAAAACAATTTAAGCACCTACAAGGCTCAACATCTTATTGTACAAGGTGATTCCTTTCATTAACAAAAGAGAGGAAAATATATACTTGCTGGTAAATTAAAAACTGCTTTTTTCCCCCCGTCAGTTGTGGGTCTTGAACTCAGAGCCTAGGTGCTGTTCCTAAGTTTTTTTGCTCAAGGCTAGCACTCTATTACTTTAAGCCTCAGGGCCACTTTCTGTTTTCTGGTGGTTAATTTGGCAGTAAGAGTCTCATTGACTTTCCTGCCCCTGCTGGTTTTGAACCAAGATCTTCAGATCTCAGCCTCCTGAGTAGCTAGGCTGACAGGCATGAGCCACTGGGCCAGGCTCACTTTTTTTTTTTAAGTTAATAATTGTTCTATATTTCACCTGATTGGAAAGAAGGACTTGGTTCCAGAGCACTTTACCTATAGCAGAAGAGCCATTCAGCCTAGGGGACATGTCCCTCCCAGCCACCCTTGCCTGCTTTCTTGCTTCACTTTGATGGCATCCTCTGTACTGGTCCATTCTGGTTCTGGTTCCATGAGAACTTGTTGCTTTGGAAAAACAATTATGTTCAGATGGAAATTCACTGTATTGTAGTATTGTGAATCTATGTGCCTTAGGACTCCCAAGTTGTGACTTGGGACACTGCCACTGGAAGGCTAACCCCATTTTAAAGTATCTCTCTAAACCAAGAATTGTGTGTGTGTGTGTGTGTGTGAGCTTGATATTCTTTGCTCATTTTACCTGTGAAAGGTAATATGAGGCTATCCTTATTGGACAGGTAAGAATATTAGGTCTCAGGGACATTACAGTCCTAGTCTAGAATTTGGCAGAACTGGTCCAAATTCTATTAGACTCCAGAGCATCAGGTCTATCATTGTCCTCTGAATGCTTCTTTTATAAAAACAATTAGTATGATTCTTTTGCTTATGTGGTTCTGAGGAATGGAACCCAGGGCCTTAGGCATGCTAGGCAAGCGCTCTACCATTAAGCCACATCGCCAACCTTCTGATGTTTCTTAATCAGCGCCTTCCATAAAGAGGATGCATCTTTTTTTTTCTTTTTAAAAATTAATTTAATTTTATTGTAAAGGTGATATATAGAGGGGTTACAGTTACATAAGTAAAGTAATTAGTACATTTCTTGTTGAACAGTGTTACCTCTTCCTTCCTTTTCACCCACTTTCCCTCCCCCCAAAGTGTAAGATTTATTTTTTTTTAATTTTTACTGTGCAGAGGATGCATCTTGTTTTCATTAAAGGATGCTGCAAGGCAGAGCAAGTAAAGTTAATTCTAGAAGCAGTGACTTGGCTGAACAATGTTTGTGGCTACCAAAGTGCAGAGAGTTAGCATTTCTCCAAATTTCACTGCCTTATGCCTTTGTAAACTGGGATTTGTAAGCCATCAAACTTATAGGGTTATTATGAGTATTAAGTGAATGAATGAATCCATTTAAAGAGTATGGTGCTTGTCTGGTAATAGTAACCATTTAACAAAAGTTAGCTATTATCCTTTTGTCTAACCATTTATCCTGAGACAGAAAATCCCTGTGTCTATACGCAGTTAGCAAGAATGAATGGACTGTATGGGGTATACAACTAAAGGAAATGAAATCAGTATGTTGAAGAAATATCTGTACTTGTATGCTTATTACAGTACTATTCACAGAAGCCAAAAGATGGACTCAAATTAGGTGTCTATTGACATGAGTAAAGTAAGTAAATGTGATATATGTATTAGAATCATATTGAGCTCTAAAAAAGAATGAATTTTATCATTTGCATATTTGAATGGAAAGGCATGGTATGAAGTGAAACAAGTCAGGCACAGAAGGACAAATACCTCATTCTCACTTATATGCTGAAGGGTTAAAAAGTTGATCTCAGAGTAGGAGGGTTGTAAAAGATGTGAGACAGGATGAGATGGAGAGGCTGGCTATCAGATACAAAGATATAGCTGGATAAGAGGGAAAACTTCCAATGTTGGATAGTGCAATAGGATAATGATCGTTGACAATAATGATTAAAAAGTAGCTAGTAGAGAGGCTGTGACTATTTCAACACAAATAATACACATACAAGGTGATGGATACTGTCACTTACCTCAGTCTGACTATTACATAAAGTACATGTTTTGAAATGGCACCGAGTACCTAGCAAATAGCACCATTATTTTATGGCAATAAAATATAAAAAATATAATAATAAAGTTGGGTGAACTAGAGGAGTTTGAGGGAGTTGGGTCTAAAGGGGTGACTTATGTGAGGGTGAGTGTGGCCTCCGTACTGTACAGACATACAGAATCTCCTCCAAGGAAGGTTCTAGAACAGTTCTTTAAAAGGTGGAGAACGCTAACGTTTTCTTCTCAATCCTTTCTTCTCTCCTGAAACCCTGTGCTCCCTTTAGGGAGCTAGATCTTGAGTTGCGAGGTTGTCCTCAGCATCTTCTCGGGAAGCCTTCTTCCTGCCAGGTAGCCTGCGGCTGCATCACCTTTCTCCACGTGCAGAGTCCAGCAAGTGTTCCTCTTGGTCCTCACCTTAAGGATGGGCCGACGAAACCCGGGATCCGCGGGCTGCAGAGTGGAACTTGGGGCTTGGGGAGCCCACAGGACCGAGCGGGGTCGGCTTGCCGGCCGTCCCACCGTCTCACCAGCAGGTGGCGCGCTGCTCGCCAGGCCCGCGGGTTCCTGGGCCGAAACTTGAACGGGATCTTGGTTCCACAGCGCCAGAGCGCAGCCGGGTCCTCCAGAGCCGAGCAGCCGTTTTCTTCCGAGGAAACGTGCGGAGAGGAGGCAGCGGACTCCCCGCAGGAGTGATCGAAGGATCCAGACATCGAGAGCTTCCCTCGGGAAGGCTTCAGGAGCAGGTGAGTGCTGGGCAGCACACGGGAAGAAGGGCAAGACCTTCCATTTCTTAAAGCGTTGTCCTTGTCTTGCGTTGAATGCTGTTGGTTCTTTTTTTCCCTTTTGGAAAAGACGTTTCTGGAAGGGAGTTTTCTGAACCAAAACAGGGCGCGCGGGAAAGAAGTCCTAGAAGCCGGTGTCCTTGCTCTCGCGCTCTGCAGCGGGAGGAGCGCGGAGCCGGGCCCGCCAGGTGGCGCTGTCTGGCTTTCTCCCGGGCCTGGGGCTCCAGTCCCTGGAGGTCTCCCGCCGCAGCGGCCACTCTAGCCAGGCGGGCGCGGACTCGGTGGTTCCGGGCGGAAGTGAGGCGCAGAGCGGAACGGCCTCTGGTGACATTTTCTTGGGGCGGCGCGGACGGCTGAAGGGAACTGGTGGTGGAGTCGGTGGCCGCTGCGGAGGCGGCGGGATTGGCTTTGACCTCAGCGGGAGGCTCGGACCG